CTCTTCTTCCCTGCCTACTCTGCCTAATAGGGCACTTGAGGGGGGTCCTCAGTCCTGACTAGCAGAGAAAACATGCAGAGTCTCCTCCAAAACTCCCTTGAGCATCTCCTCACTGGCCACACTCCTCATGAGACCACACTCCTCCCCTCTTAGGCTATAGGAGCCTGGTGACAAAGTTGCTGTGAGCTGGGTTCAGTAGCTCACACTTTCCACCCAGAAAGCAGTGTTTTTTCCATTGGATCTGTTCGATGCTCTGCTGGAGAGCCTGTTTGTGCAGCCAGGGTAACTGAGGCCACAGTAAAGTACCTGAGGGAGCTCCTAAATCTGGCTCACTGCTAGAGCCACAGTTTCAAGCAATTATATCACAGACTTCCAGTTTTCAGCCAAACTTCAGGACAACAGTGCAACCAAGCAAAAATATTACAAACAAAAAAAAAGACAGTATTTACTGAAAAGAATGGTTATACATATGCACATATAATATAAAACCACACATTTTTAACATGATAGTTTAACAATACTAATATATGTGATGCCAATTAAAGGTAATATGAATTTCTTTAGTGCCACTGAAAATATTTCTTTGATCATCTGTATAAATAAATGGCATATGGTTTAATTGTAAATACAAAATCATATACAGAAAAATCATATACAAAATCACCTATAATATTTCCTTGTCAAGACACCATTTCTCCTTAAGATTACCTCACAGCAATTTGGCTTTCATATAGCAAGACAATATATTTTGAAAAAAAAAAAAAAAATCTCTCCATGGGGTGTTCTGGGCTAATCATGCTGGGACTTTCACTCTAAAACAACTTAAATATAGAAAGAACACAGAATTTTAAAAAAGGGTTTCCTTTAGGACATATCTTTCAGATAGATACACAACTCTTGTTCGGTTTTATAATTGTGTATTATTTCCCAATGCGATGATGTTGCATGTTCCAGGAGAGCTTCATAAGAAGCATGACATACTGATGGCTTTGTTAAACAAATTGCAATTAAGTATGAATATCCCTACAAATGTATAATGACTCATTATTTCAGCTTTTTGTTTTCTAAAGCAGCACAGGAAACTCCCATACCAGTTGGGTATTTTGATAATAATAATACAATATACAGAAATGCAGGCCAGGCAGGAAGATAGTCTTGCAAACTCTCCCTTGGGCTGCCTATAAAATTAACTTATCCTAGATTTGTTGGCAAGATTTCATTTGAAATATCATTATTTTAACCTTCATACTGTTTAACAAATATGGGAGAAGCTAATTAGAACTTAACAAATCTTACCTGTCGAATTATACTTTTTACGCAACGGATGGGAAGGCCTTGATAATTGGACTTGATTATCCATTTTAAGAGGTGATGCCCAAGTACCTCAAAGACCATACAGACATCTGAGATTTAATTAAGGATAATATCCAAAGAAACTTGTTTATTAGATCAATCACTTTTTTCTTTTTTAGTATTGGTTAAAGCACTCATCATCCTGGAAGAAAACAGGTTATCTTGAACTAAGCAGAACATGTGCAAGAACAGCACCTATATCCAAACAAGTAAAATATTTTAATGATGCAATTCTTGTTAATTATGTCTAAAAGCAAAAACAGCACTAAAGAATGAAACAGCTACTTGCAAAAAATAACTATTTTTTCACAGAACAGATAAGGTTGGAAGGCACTTTTGGAGACCAGCTATTTTAACTTGAAGTAGTTCAAAATACTGATTTGTCCTATCATCTGCAGTTTCTAATAAATTTTAAAGGAAATCAACAGAAGGTTTTAACAGAAGACAGAAGCAACAAAGTTTATAAAATGAGACACACTGAACATCTTTATGATTGGGCTCAATTGAGAATCACCAGTCAAAATAATAAAAGAGGGGACCTCTTACCACTACTGCAGAAGTTCTAACTACACAGAGTAAATGCAATCATTGAAGACATCAGAAATAAAAAAAAATGCGTAACTCAGAAAAAGCAATATACAAACACAAACCCAGCAAGTTCCTTGAACCAACATCTTGCCACCAAATGAGGCCAAGAGCAGACATCCTGAAAAGAGCATTAGAAGAGAGCAAGCATTTATGATTTCCCAGTGATTTCTGGTTCTGGGAGTTGCTAAATTGGGAGATTCTGGACTCTTGGATAGATAACTCATCTATGAAGAAAAAATTCAACTTAATTGCAAGTTTTAGCATCCACAACATCCTCACAAGTGCACAATTTAACTCTACAGCATTAATCTTCACACATAAGCTGGGAATAATTTTGCAGTGGCAAACTGAGAAGAACATTAAAATCTCAGCTGTGGGATATGGTAAGCTTGCAAAGACTAATGCAAAACCAATACAGGAAAATGAATTAATGGATAGATACAAAATGATATCTCTGCTGCACGAAATTCTCAACAGATAGAAATTAGCGTGAATCTGTATTTCAGGACTAATGACAGGGAAACACAGTATCAGGGGAGGTATCTTACCTGACTTACTAAAGTTACATTAATTAGAACCTTGACAAGGATTTCACAGTCATTGCTTTAACTCACATTAAAATGAGATTTGTCCATGGATCTAACATTTATATTCTTCTTCCCAAGTACCTACCAATACATAAAGTTAAATGAAGTTTAAAATCTGTATCACCTATTCTGTAGTTAGACTGAAAGACAAAAGGTCAAAGTACTTTGTGAAGAACTGGATCATTTTGATTGCTGTCACTTGCTCATCTCATCAGATGTTCCTTAATCCCGGTACTAAGAGAGATAGTGAATAATCATTTCCTATTAATATTAATCAATCTACTTAGATTATAAATCCCTCTTCCATTCAGAAGAGGGAACAGTCTTGGCTGCCTAACCATACACATATCCTACGAGCAGAAATCACAAGTGAAGCATACAATCAAAGAGGATGAGTTGAGCACGCTCCATTAGTTCTACAGACCTTATTAATTTGAGTAAGCAAAGCCATTAAGGCTGCCATGGACAGAGAAAGAGGAGGTCCACAAGAAAATATCTGCCATTTACCTGAAAAAGATCAGAATACTTTGCCTGGGAGAGCTCTGACAAACTCAAGGCATGCTTGGGGGAAGCACAGTATCCCTCGATACTGGAGAAGCCACTAAGACAAAGACAAGACATAAAGAAGACTCGGAGTTTTGATTAGACATGAAAAAATGTGAGAGTTGTCTGATTTACTATCATGCAACCTGAAAATGATTAACCTTAAAACAGTGGCTTCATAAAGATGCACTACAGTAAAGCTGTGAATAAACTACCAAGATGTTGATGTCAGCCTTGGAAACCCCAGGATCCTCCTACAGCACCATGGTCCTCACAGATGACCATGTCCAAAAGTGCTGCAGAGAAAAGACACTGCGTGAAGCCCACCCAGTAGAGCTGCCTTTGGGAGATGCTCCTGAATGCAGTTAGGCGAATACACCAAAGGAGAAAGTCTACCAGAGCAGCCAGTATGGGGGATTATACAACACTTATCAGCTGACAGAACTAAGTACTTACGACTTATTTTCTTTATTTTTCGCTTAGCCTCCAAACACTTGCTTCATTATATGATTATCTGAATCTCTTACAAAAATATATTATTCTCAGTTAAACATTTATTACAACTTTAATACATATCCAATGTGGCAAAATATAGTAACATACCTCTACCAAAATCACTGAGCAGCCAAAGTTAGGAAATTCTGTTATTTCCTCAAAAAAACACAACTGCAATCTTTTTAGAATACACAAATAGTTTTTTTTTTTTTAAAAAAACAGTCTAGCATAGCATAATAGACATTGTTAAAATTCACCTACATATGAACATATATGGCTCTGCACATTTCCAGCCCTGTGCTACCCGGGCCTTAACAGATTTCCCTGTTTGGAAGCTCCACAGCACTCCGTGGTATTGGCCATTTAAAGGATTCACTCACCTCTCTTCTGTATTGCTTTAGCTTTTAAATGTATTTCATGAATAATTGATCCTTTACCTGTGTGTCGTCTTAATTTACAGATGACGAGCAGATACTCAGTGGCTTGCTCAAAGCAAGTCAGAAACAGTACAGCAGGAAAACTCTTAAATTATTGTACTTCTCTCAACATGTTCAACTCAATAAGAGCATCGTTAACACAGAAACTAATATGTTTTTTCCAATGGAAAAACATACCTGCCCCCCTCTCAAAAGAACTTGCACTACAGATTTTTTTTTCAAAGGAGATAGAGAAGAGCTGATCAAGTAATCAGTGCAGCCAACACAGGATGTGCAATTTTTTCATTCAAGGAAACCCAAAGCACAAGATACCTTTTAGCTTGTTTTCACTGGTGGTTTGGATTTTGATGGACTTGCAGCTGCAATTTAAATGGGATCCTACTCCAGGATCAGCCCATCTTGTCTACTGTACCTTTCTGAATAATTTACTCCCAAGTAAGGCAGGAATAGTTTTATCAAGAACATAAAAGCAACTTCTGAGATGCCAGAGCTTTCAATGTAAAGGTAAACTTAAAGATGGAAATGATCGATATCAGCTGTCCAGTTTTAATCTACTAACACAAAGCTATCTGGGCTCTTATTTTTGACTAATTAACAGTCTCTTCTCACTTTGTCAACCAAAGTGCCTTATTTCAAAAGAAAAAAAAAGGACATTTTTCAAAATATTATCATTAACAAAGCTTACTCTTCACATTCAGGAAAGGCTTTCTTGATACATGTGCAATATTAATAATGTAAGAATGTTACACGGGGAAGCATTTCCATGTATATGCATGAAACTATTTCCTTATTCCCTGTCTCAAATTAGTGTTATAAAAACAAACTAGTTTTACAAATAAAGTACATCAAATCTGATTTCTAAAAATTTTAATTATTCTTCAATGGTACAGCGGTCAGCTGAAAAGAGTACTGTAACAACTTCTTGCACACTGAACATAGCATACAGAAGCCAAAATCTGAAATGTTCAATACTTTGATCTCATTAATTTTCAGTATTTTTAGACAAAATGTTTATAATACTTCCCAGTAATACTTCTCAGAAAACATAGAATCATAGAATCATAGAATGCTTAGGGTTGGAAGGGACCTCTAGAGATCATCTAGTCCAACCCCCCTGCATACGCAGGGACATCACAAATTAAAACCTATTTCTCTTATCACAGTTGCACCAAGAAATCCTAATCAGGGTTCTTTGCCTCATTGCGCTAAACGGTTTCCTTCATCACCAATAGTTTTTTGGGGGTGACTATTAGCCACGGTATAATTTAGGTTAACCCATTGTGATTTGATGTTGCAACCTAGAAAAGAAAACCAAATTATATTTTCTTCATCTAAATTTAAGCATGTCATGCTAGCTGACCAATGAAGAAATGAGGAAACAACCCAAAGAGGGACAAAGAAAAAGCAGTTAAGATCCCATTCTGCAAGTCAGAATATTTGTTCCCACACGCTCCATCTCTCTTACTAAATATTCAAAGGCTCTGCAGCCAATGTCAAAAGACAGATGGGCAGGATGAGACCTGCTTGCACACAACTCCTTAAAGCAAGCTCCTAATTCCTCACCTAAAGGCGAAGAGGGAGCTGTTGAAGAGCACCTGAACCTAATCTGCTGAAGACTGGAGGAGCCTCACCAAAATCAACTCAGTCTTAAGCTCTCTAGAGGAGGAATCATCTTTATCTTCAGCAACGAAGTCTTGTTATTAGGGCTCCAAGACACAACAATCATACAAATTACCAATTAAAACAATAAACAAAATGGCAGTAATATCATAAGCTGCTGAAATATCTAATGCAATTAGCAAAGATAATTCATTTTAATTCAACTCATACATCAAATATACTCAGGACCAAAATTTTACCTTGGAACACTATTTATTCATATATTCCTTTGGCTCCATTTTTGTCTTTTTAAGGAGGTATTAGTTAAATTTTTAAAAGCTTCACTAACACAGAGAGGTTACAGTCTGGCCAAAAGAGGCTAAGAGCAGAATCTCCACGCTTCTAAACTTTTCCAAAAGAAAAAAGAAACCAATTTCTTTATGAGCTGACATTATTTTCCCTTACTAGATTAGAGAAAGACATATTTACTGTAAACCTCAGCTATTAGAAATCTTTTCAGTAAAATTTTTGTTTCTAAATAAATCTACCTGCTCTAATTTTAATAGACCAACACAGGATTAATGTATTTTATTATTTTTGTGTTTAAAAAAGCTAAGGTTCTTTCATTCAGGTGAATGCACAACACAGAGGACTGATCTTTGTATCTGCACATATTTTGGTGATTCTGCATTACAATTTTAAACTAAATACTTATCACGTCAGTAGATCATTTTTAATGAAGGTTCAGTATTTTCCAAAGGATACGTATTCCATTCAATCCAGAAATTTTGAAGTCATCGATCAGCTGTACAACCATATCTTTGTTAGGATCATTGGGGTCGCTTTCACGAACCTAAACCAAAAGTGTGAATATGGACATTTGAGGAAATAAGTCCCCTTAAAAATTCTAATTATTTAGCCTTATTTACAAAGATAAATGATAGTTTGGATAGTTCTCAAAAATCAAGGTAACACAGAGCAAGTCACACATTTAGAAAAAAAAATGCATGTAAAAAAGGTTAAAAACATTATTCCATTGCATTTTAAAAATTTTAAATAAAAATATATATATATACACCACTGTAATTGGCATCAATACCAGCAGTGTATTGTGAGGCTTCTACTTACACATTTGAGCAACTTTATTTCATCCAAGGCTGTCTCTGTATAGTGCTGGGCACTTTTTACAACTTTCATTGCAACAAATCTTTTCCCCCTTCAAAACAATGAAAACATTTTCAACACATGCTCTGAACTAAAAATCACATATTTTAAAGGTCTGGAAATTTTAAATAGCACATTTTTCTATCTAACATATTCTGATTGTTAGAAAACTAGAATACGTTAAAATTACATTTAAAACTTTTTTTAATAATATACTGTTAACAATTTGATTTATTAGGTACTTTGCTCTGCTTAATGCTAATGTCTTTAAAGAGGAACTTGGGTACACACTTTCACCTTTAATCAATATATATTCTTTTTATTACAGATAACGAGAGGAATAAAACCATTATCTTCCTCTCACAATTTCAAAACAACACATAAATTCAGGAAGCAAAACCTATCTGTCCAAGCAAGTGGACTTACACATATTTCTGACAGGTTTTATAAAATACATTCTTAACTAAGAGCAAAATTATACTGCAGACATCCTTTTACATAAAAAGACACCAAGAATTTACATCATTATCATACATATAAAACAGAAGCTACTGCACGCAAAATATGTCAGGAAAAAAAGAAAGGGAATATAGTGTTCTTACTGCATATCCCAGCATAGCCAGACTGTAGAGAAGTGTCCCCATCCTAATTTTCTAATAACATGATATCGGCCATTGAAGAGATCGCCAATTTTCACTGGATGATAGCCTCCTTTCAGGAAAAAAACACAAGTAGGAAAAGAATATTCAGTAAAAAGCAAGATTTCTAGCTTTTCAAATAATTGTTTCAAAAATAGATTTTTATCCTCAAATTGTCCTATACTAAAAATAGGAAATTTTAAACTCCAATGATAAGAATTTTGCCATTACTTGGCCAGAAGGGAGAAGCCCATTGTACCTGTACCTATCGCAGAGCTGCTGCTCTCTCTGTTAGGGCTTTTATTTGCAGCAGGATTACCATCAGTCCTTTATTTCTCGAGGCTTATCGTCTACTTTGCAGGGAGTACAGGAAACATCTGCATTATTTCTTCGATGATTGCATTCGAAGCTTTTCTAGTCAATGTATTTTTATATGATTGCAGAATTTGAACTGAGAATCTTTTAATTCCCATTTGTTTTCTAGTAATAGAGGCAGCAATAAAACATTTCCTGAGAAAATTTTAAGAACAATACAGAATTTATTGATGCTCTCCTAAGAGCTAGCCTCTGTTCCATATCTTGACACTTACTTCCATAACACAGGATCTCAAAAATCAAAGAAAAGGCCAGACACCTGAGCAGGCTGGAGCTCGGGTTTCCCTGCAGCATGAAGGGGCTGTGAAGAGCAATTCTGATGCTTATTGCTCATCGACAAAGCTTTTTGTTTCTTCCATATTTCCTCCCACTCGAAAACACAGGGAAGACAGCAATCAGACGAGACTTATTATTCAGAGCCCTAAGCCACTAATAATAACATTCACAATTTAGCCTAAATTACCAACAAATAATACAGCTGCTCTATGCAGGTAACACCCATGCACAGCAGCTGCCAAAGAATCATCTCTTCTGTGCTTTTGGGTCCTTCCTAATGCCACCTGCAACCGTACTTTAGGTAAAATCATTAGTTATTGATTACTTTCACTATCCATTCCTTACTACTTGCTGTAAGTTGTTACAGTTGCTTTGCAATCCCTTGAAAAATAGGTTCGAAGTGGTGCCCAATTAAGCTGCCAATTACAGCAACAAGAAAGCATCTATATGAAATGAAGAAGTGAGAGCAAAAGGATGTACTTTAGAAAACCAGTATTAGTATTTGAAAATATACAACGTATAAGCGTTACTGTTGATAATGTAACAAAATTCTGCTGTGCTATTCAGTTCAGCAAACAGAAAAAAAGTCTCTCATGCAACAGCTACATACGCTGAAGAAAGGGGGTCAGAAAAATGAGATCATTATTCCTGAAGGTCTCCTCAATGTATTGGTAATTGTAGCTGACTAGTTCTATGTTTGTATAGGGAATTATTCTCTTTGTGAACTGGATGAATGGGCGACATCTCCAGGGGGCAAAGAAGAAGATCAGAGAAGCAAAGAATTCCAATTATAGCCACGACATGACACACACTTGAAAAAAATCTCCAAGTGCTTCAAGGCATTTCAGAAAGCAGAAAAAGTATCTTCATTGTCTAAATAACACCTTTAAAGATCAGGTATTTGGTGTTTTGATATTTCCATTTCTTAAACATTTGAGAAGCATTTAATCTAAATTGAGTGATTATCAGCAGAAGTCATTCCACAGATTTAAATTGATGTTGTGAGAAGGTCCCTGGGGAACAAGGGAGAGTCTGTTCACCTTACACAAGTGGGTGTTAGATGTCTCTTTCACTTCAGGTGCTAATTCAGACTAATCCAGTTCTCTGATTATGAATACTCTCATGACTGGGAACTATTTATTAACCAACACATAATGTGGTGACTGTGAGAGTCCAGCTCACACTAACAGATCCATAAAAATAGAGATTAAAAAATAAAACCAGCAACAAAAAACAGAGCCATTGTGAAGCATATTTAATAGGTGAAATATTAAATTCAAACAAATAATTAATGATATGCTTCCTCATCAAAAGGGTCTTCCTATGAAATTTCAAACCAGGCCTGAGAACGGATGCTCTGACTCTACTCAAATATCCTAGGAGAGTCCCACTCTGGAGAAAAAAATGGAAGAAAAGAGTGACTCAGTTAACGTGTTAATTCCCAAACATTATCTTCTACTCCTTAAACACAGGTAAAATTGCCAAAAATAGGAAATTACATATTCAAATTAATAAAGCAGGTCTCAAAACAAAACAAACAAAAAACTCAAAAAAACAGAACTTAATATAGCTAAAATCTATTCCTGGAAGTGTACAGAAATTCCATTTAATTTTTCACAAAACTTGCAAGTATTCTGTGATTCTGTGATTCTTAGCCTAATACAGAATCCATTTTAAAATCATACAGATATTGCTACTGACCGATTATAAACAGCTCCACAGGCTCTCACAGGTGACCTACAAACAAACTGTAAAGCTATTTTTTTGTGCATGTGTGATCTAACTTCTCTAAACAGTGACACTTTGCAAAAGATACTGGGACACAGACAATAATGGATTGTTTGAAACTGAACTCAGCTCTTATTTCAGGGAAGAATTAAGTGAGGGCCTAGGAATGCTTAATCGCAATGAAATACAGCAAACAGATGTTCAAACAACAAATCCTTACTTACTGATGAAAGATGCTACAGATAGAAAAAAAAAAGTTACCTGAAAGGAACATGTATTGTAAGAGAAATAATTTTTAAAAATACAAATTCTGGCTATATATATTATTTTCCTTGCTGTGCACCTGCACACTTGAGTACAGTTCAAAATTTAGCAAACTGAGTTTACCAGTTTGTTTTCACTATTGGCATCATAAGCCATTTAAACACTCAAAATTCTGCAGATTAATAATTTTTTTATACTAACACGTTCCAATCATTAGCTTTGAAAAGACCAAAAAAAAAAAAGACTTGTTCCAGTCTGGGAGAAGAGATTTTTAAAACAACACACATATACAAGGTTTGACTCAGCAAGTATTTCTTGATTTGAGGGATATGAAACAGCAGTTATAGTTGAGCTGTATATTCATATCCCTGAAATCTATTAAGAGAGAGATAAGCCAAAGTCAATAGATCTGTCATCTATGATTTTCCATGTATGTACAGGGTGTGCATTGCCCCGGGGAAGTGGTTTAGGAGCAACATTAAAGCAAACTTAAATATTGACATGGCTGTACTGCAGTCACATGCTGTTTAACTTAAACAAAAACCATCTGACCTAACATAAACCACAAAAATGAGGTAGGCCAAACACTAAAATTGAGATGCAGGGTGCCAAAAACACTGAAGATCATGAAAAACAGCATGTTTAATAAAAGCATGTAGCATCTCAAGCTGGTGTGGAAAAGAAAAAGAGAGCAAAGTAAGAATCAGAGCCTAATATAAAATCAGCTGATGCTGTCGGAGGTATCAAGGTACTTAACAACCCTTCAAGTGGGTTTTCTGGTTTGCTAGGATTGGGTATTTTTGTTTCTTTTACAACCAGCATCAATCAAGAGCAGCTCCCCCTCTGCTCTTGTATCTCAGACAGAAGGAAAAAAACAGGCGTGCAAGATTCGTAACTTATTTATTACAAAATGCATAAATTAGCTATGGCTGAGTAAAAAGCAGGCTGAGGACAGAGCAGTGCTCAGGCCTGGATGTGGCAGCCACTCATATCAATTCCAGCGCTCGAAAGGCCCCGGAACAGCAATGAGGACACGCCAGGCGCCGTTCTCCGTGCGCCGCGCGGCAGGGCACGCACCTTTGCAGTAATCGGCGGGATCCTCTTGCTCCTCATCATCAGAGCCCAGAATCTCCTCCTCGGGCTCGGTGGGGCCGGGCTCGGGCA